CCTCCCCCGGGCGCCCGGTTCCTTCTTCCCCAGGCGCCCCGCGGGTGGATGTTCCCCCGAGGTCCCCGGCGCCGGGGCAGGAGGGAGTTGGAGAGCAGCTCTTCAGAATCCCAAGTTGCTTTCAACCCCAAAGAAGGGGGATTTGCCCCCTTCCCGCCACCCCTGCACCCACCTCCACCGCAGGTGGGGTGAGCTGGGGGCCCTACAAGATGCATCTTCGGGGCTTGGTACCACTGAACTGATAGCCCTGAGGCAGCCACATTTTTGCGCCCATTTTACAGCCTCGCCCCCCCTGCTGAGATGCCACTGCCTGCTGTTGCAAGCCCGACCGCCCCGCGGCAAGGAGCCCACCCGAGCAGGGGAGCACCGAGCACAGGTGGGCTGCCCAGAAGGATGGAGAGAGGCTCACCTCAGTGCGGGTCCGGTGCGAGGATCTCTGAACACATCGTGGGGGTGACGCTCAGACTGGTGCCTCCACATCCCTCCTGCCCTTCCCACACACTCTGGGGCACAGCGGCACCAGGAGCTGGAAAGCCAAACCCCAAGGCAAGGGCTTCCCAACGCCGTAGGGATCAGGGCAGAAATCTCTCGGAGAGAGCTGGTCCTGACAGTCATCAGACCCCCAAACTCCTCGGCTCAGCCGTCCCGCAGGGTTTCTGTGCAACCTGGAAACCTCCCAGTGGAGAGAACCAGAGGAGGAGGAGGAAGAGGCTGAAGAGCTGCAAGAGGTAAAGAGTACCAAGAGAGACACCACTGCCATCACTTGCTCTGCGCTTTCCACCAAGACATGGAGCAAGGGGGTGGTCTGAGAGCCAAGCAGCCCTAAGGAGTCCCGGACCCCCATGGTCTGCCCTCCGGCTCCCCCTCCACCAGCTCCTCCCACCCACAACCCCCGGGGCAGCGCTCCCGAGGAAATACCCCCGTGCTGGTTGCAAGCGTCTTCGCTCACCCTCATCATTTCATTTCAACTCCTGGTAAAAATGCCAGTGGTTGCTCATGTTTGGGTATAAATCCCTACGCTTGAACCCAGGTTCATCCCTCAAGCCTGCTACAGGGAACAGATGGGTCTTGTCACCTCCAAAGGTTGGGGCCAGAGCAGGTCCCCAGAAGGACCCCGCTCCCCGGGAGCCCCCTTCGCTCGAGGGCTCGTACCACCCTTTAGTGGGAGCTGGGAAGCCCTGCAACCTGCGATGTGCAGGGCTCAGCCTAAGCTCCAAGGAAACGTAGCAGCTCCACCTGCAAATCACAGCACAAATCCATCAATCCTCTCCCCCAAATCTCTTCCTGAAAAAAATAAAATAAAATAAGCATGAGGGGGTTTTATTTGCCCGCCCACCTTTGGGGTTTCTTTGCACTACGCTCCCTTGCAAACTTCTTCCCAAATGACCCACGACAGCGAGGTCTTCGGCAAAAGCAGAGCTCCTCCAGGGATGGCATGACTCCAGGAGCTGGGGCTTTAAGAAAATAACTACACGGGTGAGTGGGCACTGCTGGGAATGTCGGAGACTCCCTCCCGAACCCCGGGCTTGCAGAGCTGCCCCAGCACCCAGGTACTTCTGCAGCAAGCAAATCTACCAGGGACGTGCTTGCATCTTGGGACTGACACAGAACCTCTCGTGGGCTTGGGGGGCTTCTTGCTGTGTCAAGGGACCCCGTCCTGTCCCTGGTGCCAGCTGCTGATGCTCACTGCAGACCACGGTCCAGCCAGTGTCATTTTGGGGGAGGAAATGCAAGAGCAAGAATCCCAGCTATTCCCCCGGGCTGGGGAATGCGTGGCAGGCTGGCTGGAGGAGTCTGCGCCTGGCATGCCCTGCGAGGGAGCCCAGCAGGAGAAAAGGACCCTTGTGACGCAGGATTTTCAGTCAGGGCACCCAGTGGGGCCGATCGCATGGCTCAGGGTGCGAGTCCACCTCCCCCAGGTCCCCCCACACTTGTGGGGTGCAGGCGATGCAGCACAGTCACCCCATCTCTGTCAGCAACGTCGCACCCAGCCCTGGCAGCGTCACTTGTGACCCCAAGGCACCCCGACACCACACAGCCCCAGGGAACACACGGTGGCAAGCAAGGGAGGCAAAGGAAAACCCAAAAACTGGAGAGGAGGCGAGGTTGTCCCATCCTCAGCCTCCAGAAGGGATGCCCGGCTCTCTCCTAAGGGGGCATGAAAGGGGATGACGATCTGCTGCTTCTCTGCAGAACTCCAGGTGTGGAGTACCCCGGGGGTACAGACGGACCCATAAATCCTCCCATCTCCAAAAAGCGGTACATGGAGCAGAAGTCACACTGCTCTTCTGACCAAGCCCAGAGCAGATGTTTTGACAACAAGACCTCCTCCAGTGCCAGCCTTCTCCATCAATCCCCCCATCACCCCCATCAAT